TGACAGGTAAAAACCAGGGATGAGGCCCTGGAACGGAACGCTCCGGCTTACCCCCAAGTCATCCTGCAAATGGCAAAGCTCGTCACGTAGATTTTTGAAAGTGGAAAGCACAAGTCTCAAAGATTTATCCGACGTCACTCTCATCTGTGGGGGGAAAAATGAAAATGTATACTCCTGCTTCTTAGTGTGCTTTGTTTACAGTATGCTTGACAGCGGGCAGAACGGACGACTGCCATACAGCTGAAAGTAACTTTCACTGTTGGAACTGCTGCGTGTCACGCTTGGAGCGCCCACGGTTTCTGCAAAGAAACGTGTTTTCATGCCCTTTCTTCTGCAACTGGCATAGCTGTTTCATTATTGCCTTGTAACACAGGATAACATTTTTTAAATGGAAGGAACGAGAGAGTAAAGAACTGCATTTGTACACCAATAAAGGGAAAAACGACTGTGTTCATACCGCACCGTTGTTGAGCACTCGGAGCTTTGTGACTGACGTGGATTTAAAGAAACAACTCCCCTACCTGAGAGGCCATGGAGGAATGAGCCATCATCCTTGAGCTCTGGCAAAGCATGCTTTCAGCCCAAGGGCAAGAGAATTCAATTAAATTTTTTAAAATTTAAAATAAAAAAAAAAAAGCCATACAACCAACTCCTCCCTTTAAAAGGAAAAAGATCCCAAAGATTAAAGGAGTCCACTGGATGAAGAAAGGCAGGAGCGCACAACAGCCCAACACCGTTCTCTTCTCCCTTTAATGCGTGTTAGCAGCTGGGTATCGATTCATGGCAAAACACAAATCGTTGCATTTCATGATGCGTTTCTGATATCTGAAAGAAGAAAAACTGACTTTGAAAGAACACCCAAAATAATTCCTCAAATCTTCGACTCATCTGGAAGGGCTGGATAGTCTATGCAAAAGAGGTGCTTTTTACTGCCTGGACAAAACGGAAATCCTCCTGTCTGTTTCTCTTCCTCTCACACCTCCCCTTAACTTCATTTGGTGATCACTCGAATCAGAGAAAGCTATCGAGATCTCCATCAATACGGTGATTAGCCCTTCTCGTATTTTTTATCCCCACTGGTGCTATTATGTGACTGAGCTTCAAAAATAACATTTCTAGTGTAAAACTCACCTGTTTGGTTTTGTAATTGAAGTGGAATTTCAGTTTTGACTTACAGTTTTGTTGGATTTATTGCGAAATCTACTATAAGAGTAGATTAAAAGAAGGAATTAAGTCAAAATGGTTGAATTTAGACTGTAAAAATACAAGCAAATCCCCACTCGGCAATGACTTAGTGCTAGAGGTTGCTGAATTCCATAGGTGTCCTGTACTTCGACAAGTGAAATTCTCCACGCTTTTAGCCTTGAGCCTCTGGGTGTACCCAGCACTGTCTCTATCGGAGCGGGCGACAGCCGGCTCGGAATCCTTCCGGATGTGAAAGCGTACCGCACCTAACTGCCCGAGGCCCGAGGGGCCGGCGGGCTGGGAGCACGCTTTGTAGGCGTGCTGACAAACCTGGTGCCCCAAAATCCATTTTAGCGGCCTTTTGTTGAAGCACAGGTGTGAGAAGGTAAAACCAGCCGGGCTCACAGAAAGAGGAAACGCGCGTTTCAGCTCTTTCACACGGAGGTGAGCTCAGCCGGCTGCCGGGACAGTGCTCTCGCGTCAGGTCATGAAATATTTTGGGGTCAGTGTCCATCTCCACTGTAAAAGAACCGGAATAACTCAGGTTGGAAGGGATTTGGGAGGTCACCGTGGCCAGCTCTCCTGCAGCTCCGGGGGAGGATCACCTTACCCCCACCGCAGGGAGACCAGACCCAGCCACCGCTGCCGAGCAGCGCGGGTTGTGCTGGATCCCGTTCTAACGCACCAACATCTCAACTGCTTCTGGAGCCGACAGTGGGATTCATGCTCCAGCACCGGTTTTAATGTTTATCAAAGGCAGGGCCAGTTCCAAGCAGCCATCTTCCAAGCATTTCATAAAGGGGGCAAGCGTTTTCATAAAACCACACTGCAGCGTACTGCGATGCTAGGAAGCAACCAAACGAACGGCCATTATCAGAACCTTTTCCTGTCTGCCTGCCTTAGAGCCAAAGCCACGTGGCTGGAAGAAGCAGGTTGAGATGGTTAGGTAGCTAAAGAACAAGATCAGAAGAAACACACGCGCCTTTATAAAGGGAACCAAAACAGAAATGGTTATGTTTTGTTAACTTAAATGTCATAAGCATGCCTCAGAGCTTGGTGCTGTGGTAGAGGTTTTTAACCAGAACATTTGTGAAAGGCAAGACCCAAGTTATAAGCATTACGTGTAGTTGGCAAGTGATAACCAACATTCACTAAAGCACCTACTATTTGCCTTTAGCTTTTAAAGTAAAGCTTTGATACACAACACAAACAAATAAGAAGATGAAAGATCTGTGTTCTCCTATAACTGGGCAAAAGCCAAGATGGTTTCCAGTGAAACTGCAAGAAAGCACCAGTAAAGCTCAGCTTAACATACACAGGCTGTGGAACTGCCTGCCACATCTCACTTGGAGCCACCAGCATGATTCCAGACCCTTTTACACTAGAAAAAATGGAACGAGCAGAACAGAGGGTGAAGTACGTCAGGTACAAAATCCCTGGTCTGGGTAAGCCACCTGCCGCGGTTTCGAGTTACCGTAGGCTTCCGCGCACCCCCTCCGCCCCACTCGCATACCTGGAGGAGATAACGAATCTGCTGTTTCGTTGCCTCAGACAGTCCTTTAGGAATTAAATCTTCAATATCTTCAGTCTAAGCAAAGAAGGGAGGAAAGGGGAGACATCTTGATTAAGAATTTTGCCTGGTAGATCATAATGTGGTTTCTTCATTAACTACATGGGTCTACTACGAAAAACACGTTTAGTACAAGGCAAATAAGAATGAAAATAGATCAAAGTGTATCCAGAAAATTTACGAAGTCTTATATATGTGGGGCATGTAAAAACTGAGATGAAGTGATACATGAAGCATATATTCAAATCCTTGAGTTTAACATTTATTTTAAAAGCAGTATTCAAAACAATCTTCTCTCAAGAAATAGCAGCTGACGCTCAACCAGAACTCCCAGCAGTTTCTGATGGGAGCAAATCTCGTGTTTCTAAACAAAGGACAGACGGTCGGTAAACTAAGGATGACCCACACCTCACAGGAGATGCTGCCAGCGATTACGTGGCATGGCTTCATGTAATTTCATCCTAGACAAATATTTCTGCCACATACACAATGCCTTCAAAAATAAGAGAGGTGCTGCCGATTCTGTCGCAGCCCGATTCACGACAGCGAGCCTTCTGCAGGCGCAGGAAGCCTGCTGGCCAGCTTGCGCTCCTCCTGGCCGCGAGAGGCGGTGTTCGCTTCTGGCAGTGCGCGGCGTTGCTGACCAGCAGCTTTCCTGGGCGGAGGGACAGATCCTTTGCAGAAACGCATAGTGGAAATACACGTAGCTGTGTAAGTCTGCTTTACAATGAAACCACTATTGGCACAACAGGAAAGACTTTCAAAATTTGACTCTCCTACTGGAATAATGCAAATTATTAAAGTTTCGTTTCAGTATTATCACATTGGCAAACACATGCCTAGCAGTAGGTTTCAGGCTCTGAACGTTACTAACAAGCAGGAGTCATCAACTAACAAAGACCAGCATCCTCCATTTAAAGTGCCTTGGCTTAATTTGCTTGAAGTTGCACGCCACAGAACAGATGCTAAAAGCAGGCCTGATGCTTACCTGACACGTGAATTCAATGTCGTGGTTCCTGTAAAACAGACAAAATCCAAGGGGTCAGTTAACAGAAAGCTGCTTGAGAACTTTAAGAATTCACGCCCATATTCACAACTAAAAAGATGATCTTTAAAATACGGAGCACGGAAGGTTCTTCATCGGATTAAGAGCTGTTACCTTCCTTCCAAGGTGCTAGGCAAGACGAGCTGTTAAATATGACTCCACGTAGAAATGTCGGAGGAGACCAGAATACCAACAGGGTAGCACAGGCTCACGCTCCCTTTCTTTGGGCAGTTATCCCAATTACGGTCAGTTAACCCAATTACATTCTTAATTGGCTGGGTAATGGTTTACCCAGAACTATGCTGCAAGACTGGCGTGCCCGAAGTGTTTACTTAGCAGCGTCAGGTTTTTTGTGATGCTTAAATTCCGCTTTTCCCCTGCTACGGGACCACTTATCTTATTTCAGTGAACTGGGAAAGCACCAAACGAGACTGGGGGTGAGGGGGGAAGAATGAAGCAACGGTGACGGTGAGGGAAGGGCATGAACGGAGTGAAGACTCAGATTACTGGCTGCTGTGACTCTGCATTTCTTTTCACAGACAATCTGTAGGGCTCTGCAGAATACACGCTTAACGTTAATTTGCATGTAGATACTGAGCTTTATGGCTTATGGTGGCCTTCTCTGAATCCATGACATAACATAACACCATGACAGAACAAAGGAAACGGCAACTTGGACATTTGAGTTGTTACTTCAGGACGTAATAATAAAACTGTATCATTAAGTACATGTCAGAGCACGCTGTAAGTACTCTCGTTTGCTCTATGTGCAAACAGGTGGGGGATACGTAATTCTTACTGCATATTAGTCCAAACAATTTGAAAAAGCATCAAATTCAAGAAATTTACTTGGCTTACGGCATTTTTATGCCCTCAGTTACTCAGCAAATTAATGTGTAAAATACACAGTCAATACTAGCTGTCGGGGCGGGGGCGGGGGGGACAAACTTGCAAACAATACTGTCCTCACAACTGTGCAACACTAGGATTTCTGGAATACCGAAATGAGAGAACAGATGTAATGCCAATACCTTCCTCCTATCTTTTCCACATGCTGCAGTAAACAACTGTACAAGTCACTGGTCTTGCGGTTCAGTTCAGCTTTTTTTTTTTTTTTTTTTTTTTT